GGGGGGCGCGGTCCTCCCCGGCCAGGGGGGCGGGGGCGGGGCTAGGCGGCTTTGCCCAGTGGGCCAGGTGGGCGGGGGGATTTCCTCGGCGGGGCGCCAGAAGGCGGCCGGCGCGAAGCCTCGCAGCGCGCGGCAGGCCGCGACAGGGTGCCCCTCGCCCCTCGCAAACGCAACAGGGGCAGGGGGTGACGGAAGTAGGCATTTCAAGAAGGTAGCGGGCGCTATTTGGAGCGCGATCCAGTTTCCGCCGTAACGGAAATTCAGCGTATTAAACACACAAACAAACAAAGAATCGAGTCCGCGGCGTCACGGCGCTAGGTCTGCCGAACGCCAGATGCCTTGAGAACCTGGTCGTACCACGTGTCTTCCGTTGACAGGTCGTGCAACTTTGACGCTGCGAAATCCGGCGGTTGGTGCAGGCTCTCGACAAACTTTTCGAATAGAAGCGGCGCCACTAGCTGCACCTGCGCCGCTGACGTCTTGGGAAGACCGCGTTGCGCGATCTCCTCGCACAGCGACGTTGCGTGGCGACCCGGCAACTCGCACATGATGATGTCGTCGAAGTAATGTAGGTCGTTGGACACGTTGAGACCCGCACCGTGCATAGAGACCCAGTTGCCTAGTTGCAACCCGATGGCGCCTAACTTCCGCGCCGGGACGTCGTTGTGTTTCTCGGCCCATACACCCGTCTTGAAACGGTGCGTTGGAATGCCAAAGTGCGCCGCGGATTGCATCATGGCTTCCTCCAGCACCCAACTAAACCACTCGATGGGAGAACGCACTTTTTGAGCGGCGCACGCCTTCCACAGCCGCTGGATATTGGCGATGGGGTACATAGTCAGCTGGCCCGGGCCGTGGTAGGTGATGCCGCCGCCCCGCCTCGTTTTGACAACGTCCACGCTGCTGTGCTTCGGCAGGCCTTCCGCAGTGTCCCGCCGCCCCACCGTGTACACAGGTGCGCTGTGCTCCACCAGCAGTGTAACATCGGGCAAGAGCGGGAGTGCACTCTCTCCACGGCGCACGCTCACCTGTCGAGCGATTATTGCATTAAAAATTGTTTCCTGCAGCTGCAGGACACGCCGGTAGTCGCGCCTGCCTACATAAAACGCTTTCATAGTGAAACTGCGCACATAGAAAATGAATCAATCAGGGAAGACAAGAGCGACGGAGAAGTTTTACATGGAACGTTCAGCACGAAAAGAAAAATATCATGTAGCAAAAGAGCAAAGCCGGGAAAAAAAAGAACCACAAAGGTGGCTTGCTAACGAGAATTGCCGAGCGAGGTGCTCGACACTGATCCAACGCGGGTCCAACACATTGTTTGCAAACCTGCGTTCCTGTGGACGGCGCAACAGCTCATCAGTGCTTTTTCTCTTATTTCGCCGTCGAAAAAGTGCAGTTTCTTCACACGGAGCACTGGGCCAAGCAAGCTCCTCCCTTTTGCCGTGCTAGTACGAATTTGCCTTTCCTTCTGATTTAAATTGGAGCGAAAGAACATAAAGACCTACGCGCAGGCAATAGGCGTCGATGGTTGCGTGGCGTGGTTATGATTACATCGGGACATGGCGTCGAGAAAGGAAGAAAGAAAAAGAAGAACGAATACTTATGTACATTTTTTTTTGCTCTTTTGCCTGCCGACAAGACCTTTCCCGAGAGAAGAGCACGCGTTGAAAAGCCGTTACAATTCGTTGGCTGCGGCGAGCTCTGCATCCTCATCGGGCACACCCGCCTCCTTCCCGCCCTCTTCATCGCCAATCTCGTACGCGCCACCTTCGCCCAACTCTTCAGCAGTTTCAGGGGCGGCCTCGCCTTGTTTCTTGTCGAGGCGGTTTTCATCCTCGATGAGGCGTGCGATGTAGCCGTTGAGGAAGCCTTGGAATTCGTCGTCGCACACGTTCTCCACGAAGTGCACCGTGATGACGTCGGCGCCCTGCTCCACCACGCGCAGCCGCGCAAACCACTGGCTGAGCACCATCGTGTCATCGCTCTCGTCCGTCGTCGCCAGCTCAATCACCTTCGGCAGGCCGATGATGCGCAGCGCAAAGACGCCGGCGGCCGGTGATGCCGTGTTGAGAGGCGTCAGGGCATTCAGAATAAAGACGTCCTTCTCCGACAGGCCCTGAAAGGCGGCGGCGGCACCCTCCGGAAGGCAGTAGTAAAAACTCTCATCCGGATACGCCTCCGAGGCGCTCAGGGCGAGGGCAGTGAAAGCGAGGGGTTGGTGCTGCTGCAGCAACGTACCAGCAGAGAGCTCGCCGAGGAACTGCTCACACTCGGGGACGAGTCCTCTGCCGACCTCTGGGTCGCACGACATCAAGATGAGCGACAGCTTGCCGTAGGAGAGACTTTCCGAGCCCACCTTCTGGTCAGCCGCAATGCACATCATGTTGACATCTTCGAACGGCACGCCTTGCGCGGCCAGATGCTCCGCCAAGGTGGGGAAGGTCTCGGGAGAGGTGGGCAAAGCTTCTCGAGCAGCCGTCTCGTCGTTGGCCAAGTCGGCCATCAGTGTGGTGCTCGCCGGATAGTGCAAGGGCAGCGCCGCGACGGTGTTCCACACGTGCATCTCCTCCTCCGATACGGTGACCCAGCGGTTGGTGAAAATTTGGTTGACGGCGGACTCGTCCGTCTCTGGCGCGGCGTTTTCCTCGGCCTGGTGGGGCGGCGACGGCGACGGCGTCGGCTCGTTGGAGGGGGTCAACTCCGCCGTGGTGGTGACCGTCTCCTGCGGCGCATCCAGCTCCGTCCCGACGTCGCGCTCTGAATTGACGTCCTCCGGCGTGCTAGGCGGCGGCGCCGTGGACTCATCAACGGCGGAGGCAGCCACCACGTCCTCTTCTCCCGCTGGGTAGGGCGCGGTGTCGTCGAGTTCCTCCATGTTTGCTGCCTCGTCCTTGTCGTCCGCTGCCACA